GGGGGTATTTTACCCCTTAATCTGTATTTGTCATTTTGTAGATTTTTTTTTTATTATTCAAAGTAAAACCCATCAATTATAAGGGGCAAGTGTTTTGCGTTTATTTATTTTCTTTCTTTTTTGTTTGTTTTGCTTTTTTTTGTGTGTTTTTTGGTAAGTGTTATACGGCGCTCGCTACTGCATAAGGTCACATGAGCGCGCTGGACACACTAAACATTTTCAGCTGAGAAGAAATTTTGAATTTTGCCCGGGTGGCAGCGGAAGCCTACTCTTGTCGATTTTAGACCATCAAGGGATATTTAACGTGCGCAACTTTCACACGGGACCTCCGTGATTTTTCGCCCTTATCCGAGAAGGCTAGGTGTAGATCTTTCCTACCAGAAGATCACGAGTGTGGCTGAAAGACAGCAGTAAGAAGGAGCCAAGGAGTTGCAGAAGAAAGGCTGCAGAAAGAGTCAAGAGCCCAGAGGAGAGGGCAAAGGAGGTGAGGGGGTGGGGGCAGAAAATGGAGATAAAAGCAGACGACAGAACATTGCTAGAGAGCAGGAAAGGGGGTGAAAAGAGACAATTTTTGGAGAAGAAAATTTTCAGTCGCTACCGAGATTTGGACCCAGGAACTTTGAATGAGAGGCGAATACCTTAACATCTATAGGCCACGAGAGCCCCCTATTTATCTTTGAGGAAAATAGAAATCTTATGAGTCTCTCAAAACGAGCGTTCTATCTCGCAGGAGGGTTGTCCCGCTATTGTCTGTCTTTTTTTCGTCAGTCTTTTAATCTTGCCTTCTTAGTTCAAACTATTCTCTGAATTCGGGTCTATCAACATTGCCACATATTCATGGTAAAGTGGGAGGGGGGGGGGGGCTCAGGACAGGAACATGTTTGAATACACAGACTTTGGAAACAAATTATGCAATTAAAAACTATTAAAAGGCGGGACGAAAGGGGGTGGGGTGGCATGAATAGGCCAATAAATTGACAGACGGACAGAAGTGCAAATGGATGGTCAGACTCCCCGTCGATGAGAGATAGGGAACAGAATTGAAGCTGTATTTTGACATCCGTCATCAGTAATACGTGTACCGATGGCATTCTGCGCGCAGTCCTGTTTATATTTATTATTTGTCCTTCCCCCGCCATTTGTTGTGTGGTTTGGGCCGCCAATGTGTGAACCGATCAAGGACATGGCCCCCTATGGCGGCCTCCCGACGAGATGTCATTGATTAATACCTTTTTTATTTGCTACCTCTTGACGAAGACATTCGCGCGTGCTGCAGATCGGACAGTACTGCCCTCTGCCTGGCCGTTGTTATAAAATTCTCACGCGCGCGTGTTATTTCCGCGTGCGAGCGCGATGGGATACGAGGAGTGGTCGTTCCTGTCCGTGCCACCAGACGTAGACCTCTGTTAGCCCCGCCCCCTCTGTCAGCGTTGGTCGTGTCTGGTTGGTGCTGGTACCACTCTCCCGTCCTCTCCGCGTCATGTTTCCGCCCCCTCCTCCTGCGTGTCCTCCGCTCTCCCTCCGCGCGGGTGGCTTGGATGAAGGGTTCGCGCGATGTTGTGATGGCGGTCACGCTGACTGCTTCTGTGAAGCGCGCGCAGCGGTGGCGACGGTGAAGGCGGCTTTTATAATGTCGTTGTTGCTGCTGCTGTTGGAATAGATTTCATTATCTCTGGTGTGGGTGGAAGTCAGGACGACGTACGCGGTGGTACTTTGTTGTTGTTGTGGTTGTTGTGGTGTAGGACGTAGTGTGTGAGTCAGGACAACATTGGATGCTGCTGTGACGTTCAGATCAAAACTATAATTTACTGCTGCCTTTTTACGCGTTGGAATTTCGTGGCAGTGGGGTGTGCCGTCTCAAGTTACATCAAACCGTCGTACTTGATTCACCCTAGTGTATTCTTCCCACTGGATACCCAGTCACATGTTTGTCGAAGATTTTGCATGCACAGATTGATAATCACAGGTTATCTGAAAGCAGTATCGACTTGTGTCTGTGAATATTCTGAATACATTACTCCAAAATTGAACGATATAACCACAGTTCTACTCCCAATACGACCGCATAATTTAAGAGAATCAAATACACACTCTACCTTTTAATGCACAACTGCATTTTACCAGTGGCAATACATCTTTTGTTCACGGAACGTTGAAGAGCGCTGGAAGACTGCGAAACGTCTGCTATTAATTATTTCCCCATTTCTTTACGTTGTCGTTTCAAGAACAGCAAAACAAATCAATTACCTGCCTGTCTGTGGATTACACTGTACGCTGCCAGCAAGTTATACTTCATGTGCCTCGTCAGGTGAGTACAGTTTCCTTACCAGTCGCGCGTGTCTTTGTGGAGTTGAGCGACATGAGATGTATGTCTTGGTCAGTCTCTCAATTAGTTCTGTGATTCGAACGTGACTGAAAATACCTTTGTACCTGGATGTCATTTTGGGGTTGTTGTTTTCCTGTAATGATGATTAGCAAAGATTACCATCGCGTACGGGTTCTCTGACAAGCAGATGCTCATGACTGACTCACTTTATAATAACTGTGAGAAAGTCTTAATGACAATTCTGGCGTCGACGACGATGTTCTCTTGTTACTGCCACACTTCCATGTCTCCGTTTTTGTTGTCTGAAACATGGTAATGTATAGATCTGACATATCATAGTAATGTATAGATTTGAAATACAGGCTAGTAATCTATAGATCTGACATAATAGTAATATCTATGTTTTATACCCCCTTCGACAACACAATTAAGATAACTTAAGAGGCGGACTGCTTTGACCCTGCTTGTCAGAAACAACTCGGGCTGTAGGATACAACGTCCCTGTAGACAGGGGGAAATGCATGTACTCGAGAAAAAAGAAAAGCTACTACCTCACGGGAATCGAACTAATGTCTTCTGTTGAAGAGCTTATCTGCTACACCACAGTAGCCGGTATTTTCTCTTGACTAGCAGCTGCTTATAACTGACTCAGTGTATAATGAATATGAGAAAGTAGAATGACTATTTAGGAGTCGCGGCGATGTTCTCTGGTCGGTTGTACATGTCCACACCGCCGTTTTTGTTGTGCGTGTTCTCCTTGTTTCTTTTGTTTCCCAATCATACTGTACTACGTTCTATTAAGATGTTTCTGTAACACTCAATAAATAGAAGTAGTTAGTTCGTCTCATGGAGAGGGGAGAAAGAAGGGAGAGAGAGGGGGAGAAAGATAGAGAGAGAGAGGGGGGGAGGGGGGAGACACAGAGACAGACAGACCGAGAGAGAGAGAGAATGAGAGAGTGAGGGAGAAAGAGAGGCAGACAAAAAGAAAAGAGAGGCAGAGAGAGAGAGAGAGAGAGAGAGAGAGAGAGAGAGAGAGAGAGAGAGAGAGAGAGAGAGAGAGGGGGGGGGGGGAGTTTTGAAATTTGGTGAATAACATGAAAAATCTTTCCACGATATGACGTATCAGCCCATTCTGAAGTGGCATTTAGTCTGAAATTATCACAATGTACATAATGCATATGATTATTTTGTGATTATCGTATAAAGGTGTTTTGAAAAGATCAAGTAAGGCCAAAGCTTTGTCAATAAGTTAACACCACCCTCGTTTTATGCCGGGTAGCATTTGAATTGCATGTCGACCGCAACACTGTACTAGGTTGAGATTTTTAAAATCCTGATCATTCTGCGCCACTCCCACCTCCCACC